TAATTTATAATATATTAAATATTTTATTAGATCACACATATAATATTGACTCTTAATTGCCTTTTTATTTCATTGACAATTTTTTAATACTAAGAGTCCTGTATATTCGTACTATTATTATTATTACAGTAAAATAATTATTACAATAAAATACTCTTATTATTACAGTAAAAATTGTAATAATATATAATATATAATAAAATTGTAACTTGCTTAATTTTAAGAACCAGTAAAATATTTTAGCGTTTATGATTTATTATTATAACAATTACGTAAACTTAATGAGCATCGAAGTGCGATGTATTATAGATATTTTTGGTAAATATGCAGTATAAGGGATTACCCTTCAATGACCTTGACTTTGACTTAAGAGGTAAAACCATGGACGAATAAAATACCTGGACGGAGCATAGCGCCTCCGGAGTAAGACACAAAGGGAGAGAAGAATGAAATGTCTAACGTAACGGATATGAGGTACAAAAATGACAGCGGCAGATAATTTCATGGAATGTGATCTATATCTATCTCTTGAAACGAATAAAAAAAGCTTTGTCACTCCAAAAACTAGAGAAATGAGTATAAATGAGAATTTATATATTTATATGTATACTATGTATATATGTATTCTATGTATACTTGTATATATTTGTATACAGGGTGTTTCCTCTAACTCGACCATCTAAAATATCTCCGTTGTTTTTGATGATACGGGAAAATACTACAGGGAAAAGTTATTCAATTGAAAAGGACACATATTATGACGAGAAAAAAATTTTTCTCAAGGTCATAGTTTTTGAGATTTCGAGGTTCATTTTTAAACTATAAAGCAAAATATTTTATTTCCACGAACTTTTCGGTCACAAACTAGATTCGGAGTTTCTTAAACTAACACAGCTCAAACAGACGACAATTATACTAATTTCCTTCAAATTTGAGTTTTCTAAGCTCATAAACAATCACAGGAATTTAAACGGAAACGTTTAAATGGTCCTGACAGAGAGAGACAGAGAGGACAGATAAGAAGGAGTGAGATAGCAGTGTAGATAGCGCTACTGAATAACTAGCTTATTTCGCGCATGTGCACTCCATTTTGGGCAACATAAAATCAGGAAAGTTGCGCTACTGGATATACTGTAACTCTATGCTCCGTCCATATATTTCATACGTCCATCGGTAAAAGTGATAAAACCTATTAGAAGTCATTCAAGATTATGACCTTGGCAACATATGCCAAGGTCAAAGTTATTTATACGCAGAAAGTCATACTCTTAAGCAGAGGAGAAGGGTGGATCTTATTCTGCATAGAGAGTTGTTATAACAAATTCTCTGCTTTAAAAAATTTTCTTTGAAAATATTATTTCCTTATATAATTTTTTTTTAAAGCAGAAAATTTAAAGTAAAACCTGTTAGAGGTCACTCAGGATCATGACTTTGAGAATTATTGGAGATATCCCTTATACTGCATAGTTACCGTACTTCTTTAGTAAAGAATAATCTATAAAATTATTTTAAAAATATTATCTTTTCGAACTGATAATTTCACTAGTTCCAAATAATTGCGTCATTATAAATAAGTTTTTTAAAAACTTTAAATGTCTTTCTATCTATGAAAAGGAAACATTAACTATTATTATTATTATAAATATAATTTACAGATAGATTAACTAATATACATATATTATACTGATGAATATAACTAAAGATGTTTGACATACACAGAGAAGAAATGATTCTAACTTGTAAATTTTGAGATGATGATGTATATATTTTGATATTATCGCTTTTTCTTCATTTGATGAAAGAGAAGAATGTTCTAAATATCTAATTTTATTTTTCATTAATTTATTAGTTTTATTAGTCACGAATTTGTGAAGACGATTTTCAAAGATTTCAAACTGAGCGCATGTTTGCAAAAATAATCCAAAAACTAAGGTTTCCGTGCCGACGTTTATAATAGTAACAAAAATCACTGTTACGATTTGTTGAACAGACGTAATCCAGAACATTGGAGATATATTAAAATCATATGGTAGCCATACTCGATAAGGTAATTGACCTTGCATAGCATTTAGTACAGATCTTACTGTAACACCAGTCACAGAACTAGTTGCTAAAAGTGAATATTTAATTGAGCATGATCTGTAAAAATACATAATTAAAATTATGTTTGCTAAATGTTATTATTCTTATGATAATTTAAACTTATTTATATTTGTAATATTTATAAACGTTTATAACAAAATTTATTACAAAGTTTGATTATTATTCCGTGAGAAACATTCATAATGGTATTTCTTTAGGGGATATCTCTTCGATGATCTTGACATACCTATGTTATAAAGGTGAGAATATTGATAAATTGTTTTTTTTATAAATTAATTAGCGGTCTCATATTATTTTCAAAATATGTTTACATAAAACTGAGATAAACCTTTACAGTATGGGATACTTCTTCAATGACCTTGACCTTGATATATATTATCGAGATCGTGACTTTAAATGACCTTCAAAGAATTTTAGGTGACAGTTTGTTCAAAAGTTATTAAGGAATAAAGTTTAAAAAATAATGTCTTAGTATGTGTATACTGAAAGAAATACAATTTTCCTTACAAAGAGAGTTCCCACTTTACTTTCTTTTTTGTCATGGGACATACGACTTTCCACACGAAAGGAGTTTCATCCTATTTCCCTCCCTATCATATATAGCATACAACTTTCTAAGCAAAGCGATTTCAACCCATAATATAAAGACAAAGATATATTTGTCCAGTGGTAAACTACTGCGCATGCAACAAACAAGCGTATATCACATTCGGTTCGCCTCAGTCATATCCGGTTCGTATATCGCCATTTATTAGTTACATGGGATAACCTTCCTGAGTAGCGTTTCTGTGTTGTGTTAACAGACTATAGAGTGAGGATTGTGTTTTCATTGCAAAGAAAACACACTGAGAAAAAAAATAGTTAACTCAACTAAATTGGCGGTCAAGCAAATATTTTGTTTAGTCGAAATATTAATGTATTTGAGTCAAATACGCAGTAGTCATTGAACACATGACTTATTTATTTCAACAGGACATATTTTTGAATTAACAAATATTTGCTTGACAGCCCGTGATCGCCGCATTTAGTTGAGTCAACTACTTTTTTTCTCAGTGCATGAATTATGCAATGAAAGAATACACGAATTATAATCGAAAAATGAACAATATGCTAGGAAAGCATGCTTGAAAGCAACTCGTTCAAATTTATCGCGTAACGATGACATGGCTTGTTAACAATTCTGATTAGTCAGTGGGCGTGAACGTGCGTATAAACATGTCCTTGTCTTTAATCATGCTTCAACTCCACATCTTCTCTTGCGATAGGGTGTACAACTTTTCACGCAAACCGACTTCCACCTTCCCCCGTTATGGGGTGTACGACCTTCTACGCGAAGCGAGATCCACTCCATCTTTCTCTCTAACAATGAGAAAATCGGTGGAATGAGCTTGCTTTGTTTGAAAAATTTTATCGCACATGAAATGTATAACAGAGTATAAGCACAACATAAGGGAAATCGAGGAAATGCTGTTCATGGAGCAAATAGCGCGATAGCGTTAGCATAGTTCATGAACAGTATTAGCGTAGCATTGGTAACGTTTAATCATAGTGGAACATATGTTTCTTCCACCTACGTAAAAAGGTGTTTAACATTCGTTAAGGTTAGATTAATGTAAGGGATTCTATTCTCAATCATCGATCAAACTTTTCTCTCTAATATCATAATTTAAATTTTTAAAGTTTTACAGAGTATACGTGAGTTCATGTAAATCTCGAAAATTAAGTATATGAGAGACCGCCAATTAATTTATAGAAAAAAATATATCGGTATTCTCATCTCTATAATGTATGTCAAGGTCAAGGTCATTAAAGAGGTGTCTTCTAATGTAAAGAATTACTTTGTAATGTAGTCAATAAGTAGTGTGTGTGTGTGTGTGTGTGTGTGTGTGTGTGTGTGTGTGTGTGTGTGTGTGTGTGTGTGTGTGTGTGTGTGTGTGTGCGTGCGCGCACATACTCTTATAATATTTTAAATTATTAAAATGCATGTGTTATGTAATATTTGTTAATGTACCGTTTAAATGTCGAAAATTGATAGATTTTTGAAATCAACAAACAAAATTCAATAAATAAGTTTAATAAAGAAAAAAATTAGAATGCTTTTGTCATAGAAATAATTTTTTTAACTTAAATCAAATTAGCTTAATGCCGATTAAATTCAGTCTTAAAAAGACTTAAATTATATACTTTTTAAACGATGACCTAAGTTTTTGCTATCAAAGAATTATAATAATAATAAATACTCACTTGATAAATTTATCAAATTTAGTTTGTATCATCATTTCGTCCTCGTCTCGAGGTTTACAAGGTGCCGTCAATAATATTTGCAGCAAATTGATGATTGCCTTCCGACGTATTACAACAATCGTCGCTTTACAAGTAACAGCAACAATAGTCAAAAACATTAAGGTATTTGTTGCGAAATCATCGATATTATCAACAACAAGAATGATATCCATGAATTGAGTTATCATCAAAAAGTATAATAAGACTAGTACAATAGTGGTAAACACATTGTACATTAGTTTAGCGATATTCGATGACCATTCAATCGGCATCCATACACCACCGATAGTATACATTAAAAAATTTAGAGAAAACATTTGCATATTTGTAACTCTCTTTACAATCAGTTCATTAAGGTGTTACAATAAAAGAGGATAGGTATTTCTATATATCGAGAAAAGAATCGTTAATGCAGTATTGCGAAAAAATCTGTTATATTTTTATTTAATGTAAATTATATGACTAACTGATTGTAATAAAGATATTATTTATTAAATACATAGATCAGAGATTCCTAAAATGTATGTCGCGACTCATAAAAATTTAGAATGTTAAATTACACTTTTGTTACTTTATTGTACAAACTTATATATTTTTTTATACGACTTTGTATACATATGTGTGAAATTGGATTTTTAATGATGATATCATGCATAATCAAATTTCGATATAAACTAAAATTTTCAAACTTTTTACATCTAAACAATTTGCATTAACATCAAAACTATTATCAACAAATATAAGAAATAAAGACATTCTTTACACATATCTTATTATTACAATACATACATATCTAAAAAATAGATTTATAAAATTATATTCAATAAAACATTAAAAGTAGGGGCATTATAATATACAATACATAAATAATTAATTTATTAATTTATATTATTTTTTTATATTTAATAAGGGGAATTAATAAAGTTATTTTCATATATTTACTAAAGCTTGGTGAATCATCGATATATATTTTTTTAAAGTCGCGATCTATACAAGTTTAGAATACGCTGACATAGATCGTACATAATATTATTATAAATTAATAATTAAAAAGAAAGAGAGAGCATGAGAGAAAGTTATAAATATCTATTGTGCACTTTTTTCGAAATACTGCTTTTCACATTTTTAGTAACACAACAGAATTAATAGATGTTAATGTGGATGTAAGTTTGTTTTAATATCGAAAAGACAATATTAAATTTTAACTAAATAAAAATGTACACTCGTGTGTTACATGAGACTACGAGTTTGCTCGTTCAATTTCTTAGTTTTATGCCAGCGACGATCATTAGCACAGAACCTATTATAATTTATTATAGTACACTCTTATTTTCCATTTATGCGAATAACGTAATGACAGCTATAGTAACGGATGCGAAGGTCGACTTACTTGTAATAACCAAGGGGTGCATTTACCCCTTATATCTAAACATATTGTCTATTCCCATCGAATAAAATGTTTATTGACGTTAGAAAAGTAATGGAAATAGTTCAACGCGAATATAAACGACTACATTTCCCTTACATTTGATATCTTGACCACAAAGTTGAGAATACGTATATTCTTTACTGTACCTACATAATTGCTGTTTGTCTGTTTATTCAGTACGAAGATCGCTGGCAGAACCCTTATATCAATTCTTGTATACATAAACCATTGCATAGAGAAATGTAAGACTTGTAGAATATATTTTCTTCTCTATTAATTGAATTAATGAAATAGTTTATTACAAGTATCATTGCTTATGTATAAAAGCAATTCATTGCAAATTATTAATTTCAAATCTGAATATTTAATATATTAATATTCGTAATTATTCTTAAAATGATATCCTTAAAACTTTGACTTTATCAATTTATCTATATGTAATCTATACATATATGTATTATATGTATATTATACAGTATATATATGTATACAATTTTGAACATGCGTAACTTATCTTGAATGATTTTTTTTCAGAGTAAGGGACAAAAGAGTAATAGAGTATAATAGTAACATCGTTAATATTTTTTAAACTATAACAGATATATGTATGTGGCCGCGTGGTAAAATTCTATAAACAGATTGGCATTGAATCGTTTATTACATACAGATTTTCGCGGAACGTGCACAAATGCAGGAGCAGAAATTATTTTGGTAATTATGCATTATAACGAACTACTCTCCGATGACCTTGACATATATTGTGAAGGTCATGACTCTGAGTGACCTTGAACAAATTTTAGCCGTCGCTCGTCCTTCGTTAAAAAGATATTAACAAAAAAAGTTTCAAAAATAACATCCTATTTCTGCTATATATACAGTATTAAATACTATTCTACATAGGTTTTGACCTTCTACGCGAAGCGACTTTCACCCCCCCAG